CCGAGGCCCACTGCACGTGCATCAGTCTGGACATATTAGAACCGGCAGCTCTAGGATATTATCTTCAGGCCATGAGTGATAAATACCCAGCCCCCCGACTCCCTGGTTGGGATGAGAGGTGCATGTCCCATATTGGTTCCCAGAATACGCCCTGTGGGGTTAAGCTCCAGGTCCCCACCATGGTAGCTGCTTTGATAAGGCATTATTGCTCCCACTCTCTTGTGGACATGCCACCTTTCCGGTATGCTAACAGGAGTCAGATGCCTGTCTCCGTTTCTGAGAACTGGATCAGACAGGGGTTGTTTTACTTAGTAACCAGGTAGCTCTTACAAGGAATGGGTTTCTATGCTATGTTGCAAAGGCACGCACTCAAGAAGAGTAAGGGTTGGGATGGGAAAGACTGCACCAAGGAGCAGCACCCTGGGGTGAGGGCTACTGGCATGGAGGAGCCCAGCATCACTGCGGGGCGACAATGCAGCAATCTCAACTGCCGCTGGAGAACATTTTTCCAGCAAGTAGCACAGAAGCAGGCAGCAGTTCTTTTCATAGAGAGAACATCCCCATGGATGAAGGAGAGCTTTCAAAGATGAATTCAGATGTAGCTACTACCTAGATGCGGTGACAGAGGAGCATGACGGCATTGTCCTGTCTTGTTGGTGCCAAGTAGGAACCACCTGCAACACGTGTGCCCCCTGCCCAAGAGCGGGAGGGCAGGGCCAGAGCACAGGAGGTCTCCATCGTCTCCACCGTGACTCCAGGGTCTTTGCCTAGTTGATCACTTCCTCCCTCCCAACACCCTTTCCTTCTGCCTTGGCTCCTCTCTATGTGGAATAAAGAGAGAAGCTAGAATCTGGGGCTGGAGGGGGCATTCAACTGTCCAGATGCAGTAGCCAAGGATGAGTTTGTCAAAGTGGCCTTGCCACCTGGAAGTCATGGGCAGGTGGAGTTCAGCTGAAAGAGACAGACATGGATATCTTCAGGACAGCCCCTCCTCCCTATGCAAGTCACCACCAGGCAGGTGCAACATGTGAGAGCGTGCCCTCGGGACCTGCTGGGGCATGCACATGTTGTACTTGTGCCCTGCTCAGGGATGAACAGCTTGCAGGGCAAAGAGGTGGTCAGCCCTCACCTGTTCTCCCATTGCCAAGCCCTGAAGGTGGTCGTGGGCTGTGTCAGCCCCGAGAAAGGTGTCTCTCTTTTCCCATTTGACCCAGAGGGGTTGCTTTTTGCTCACTCATGACCCATAGGAGAGCACATTGTTGGGCAGGCTACAGCACTGTTGATAGCAAATGACCAGACTCAACCTGATCTTCCACCACAGCAGCTCATGGAGGAGGGAGGAAGGAGACTCAGAGAAACATGTCCCCCTCTTGGAAGGCGGGTGGCCTGGAGTTTATGCTTCTGAGACTAAGGAGCGTGAAGAGGAAGGGGAGAGAGCATAGGGGGATTCCTTCTTTCTGCCACAGACCTGCACTTAGAACCAGAGCTGACAGTTCTTGCTTCTAGAATGACTCCAGGCTCAAGACTCCGGCCCTCAGCCTGAGCGCCACCTAGTGTGGTGGAACCATGTGGAGTATGAGGGAGGCCAGTCAGTCCCCTTTCAAAGATCCATCGGATACCCAAAGCTAACCATAACCCAGCAGAGTCTGATTGCCCAACCTCTGTACCCAGTTACATCAGGGCGGTTCCACACAGGCTGGTGAGGCAGCAGGGAGCAGCTTTGCTCATTAGACAAGACTCACTGAGCACTTCCTCTCTGAGGTGCTTACAGGATGACCTTGAACTTGTCCTGGCCCCTGCCCACATGGAGAGATGAACCATACAATAAACAGCTATCCCTAGGGAGTGCCAGTGCCATGGCACACAGGATGGCACTCACCGTGAGTGAGTGAACACATGGAAGATTTAATGAGTGAATGCGTAAGTGAATGCACGAAGGGTATACAGAGTTCTGTGCTGTCCTGGTCTGGGCAATCAGAGGAAGTGACATGAAAGTAGGAGGATGAAGTTTAGCCATGTGAAGTGCAAGAGAAAGGAGGCGTGACCTTGGAAGAGTAAACAGACTTGCAAGTGCCCTGAGGTTGGAACACCAAGCAGATGCTGAGGCAGAACCAAGAAGGCCCGAGTTGGTGTCCATGGGTCATAGGGAGGTCAGGATGGGAGGGCATGGGAGCCATCGGAGCCGCTGTAAAGAACACTGTAACCCAGGCCAAAGACAGCCTGTGAGTGCCCCAGCAGGTCCCGAGGGAACAGGAGGCTCAAGCAGGAGCGGTTGGCATGTGAAACCACCTGAGTTAGTCAGACTTTTACCTCCGTCTGCTGGTGATGGTGATAAAACATGATGCCTTATGGAGTTCCCCACTGTGGTCACACACAGTACATGTGGATAAGCTGCAGTTAGGTGGAAACGATCTAGAAGCATCTTTGTGGGTACAGCGGGGTGGAGAAGGCAGCAGGGCAAGGTTCCCTTCATTATCTACCACTTCGGAGATCCTTACCAACAGGGTCCCATAATGCATCAGTGCAAATGCTCTGAAATACACAGCCAAGACTGGAGAGAAAGGCCCAGCTGAATTCCTCCAGGTGGCAAGCCAGAGGTCCAGGGACGAGAGGTCCAGGGACGAAATCTCCAGGCCCACAGTCCCCTGTCTGAGTTACCTTCAGGCCCAGTTCCCTCCAAGATGGGCTTCCCCAATTCACTGGTGACAGACTGGCCATCAGACATACATTTCTCACTTCTGGAACAAAGATCTGTCAAAGCCATCCCTGGACAGAGCCCCAGCCCTAATGCCCAGGACCCAGATCTGGCTGGGTACCTGGCATGATGCCTCCTCATTCCCGTTTAGAGGTGCTAGAAAAACTTGGATTACCATTGAACTCCAGATGTGGGAAAAACATGGCCTCCACAGTGCAGGTGGGAAGGCCAACAGAGCTGAAAGATGTCTGCATTTTAGAAAACTCAAGCTGAACAACTGTATTCTGAACTCTTTCTCGAGGCCAAGCTAGCCACATTACCGAGCAGGTGAAACAGCAGGCTACACTGAACAGAACTTAGTACAATGTTACCTTGCCAGTGTGCATGGCCTCCTGGGAGAATCCTCACAGGAGATCCCAGCCCTGAGAACTGCTGGCAGCATAGGGGAGCACCTGCCCCAAGGCCCAGGCTCCTCCCGTTCCCTGCTGGACCCTGGCTCCGTCCAACGCCCAGGTGAGCCTGCCACACACACGCAGGTGGGTGCTTCAGTGTGACTCTCCAGGTTCCCCCCAAGTAGCCACCCTGGGGTCTGGGAGCTGATACACTGAAGACGTGTCCCTTGGATGAACAGATGCCTGGATGGGACCTTCAGAGATCCCCACACAGACAGAGTTCTGGGGAGAATGACCAAGGGGAATGGTCTCACAGATTTCTCACCAACACCCAGATGGTGAGTGCTGGAGGAGGCCTGGCTGGGGCAGGAACCCTCTGGTCCCCAGTGCAGTCCGGCATTGCTGGCAGGGCCAGAGCCGCACCCACTGCAACACCCCTGCCTTGAGGCTAACCCCACCCCACCTCCAAACCTGCAGCTGCCTTCCCAAGCACTGGCTCCCACACCTGCTTTCCTCCTCCATCCGTCCCAGATGAGCCTCCAACAGGGTCCCAGGGTAAGGAAGGGAGACACCTTCTTCAGTCCCAGTCCCCACAAAGCCCAGTCTCCAAGCGTTGCCTGCACACATAACTTCCTTCCATGCCCACACACACGCCCGACCTTCGCATCTTCAGCTAGGGTTCCCTCCAACCGACAGAGACAAGAAGGGATTGGCCAGGGAGACCAGGCAAGCTTCCCTCCCCCTGCCCCTGCCATCAGGAAAAGGAAACAGAATGGATGTCCCCACCTTCCCATTAAAAGCACTTAAAAAAATACAAACCAATCCCCCCCCCCCCAAAAAAAAACACAAAAAACAAAACTCCACGTTCAGGGCTCGGTGTGAGGATGTGCAGAGAGCTGTGTGTGTTTTCTTGTCATTTGCGACTCTAATGATGGACTCACGTTGCCCGCTCTTCCCTTTCTCTTACACCTTACCTACCTACTAAAGGAGGAGTTCTTGCTTGGTAAGTGGATATGATCCGCAAAGATATGAGAGAATTTCTTAGAAGCCACTCAAGAATCCTTAGATACCTTCTACAAGGGGAAAAGGACACACACCAATCTCCGTAGAGACCTTTTTTTTTTTGTTTCTTTCCTGTCAGACTATTTGACTTCCATTTGTTTGTTTGTTTCGGTCCCCTCTCCCATCCTTTGGCCTCCCCTTCCGTTTAGGGGGGTTGAACCTAAAACTGCTACAATGTCCCATTTGTTAACACAAAACCAGAAACTTTCACCTATTTTTTTCTGTTTGTTTTGTTTCTTTTCCCCATGTGGTATTTGTTTAGGGTTCCTCTGGTCAGGCAATTTTTTTTTTTTTTAATGTTTCCCTGAGGATTTGGTGGAAGCGCTTTGCAATTTTGGCTTTCTCTCCCATTTTCTTTCTTTTCTTTTAATTCCCCATAGGTTTTTTTTTTTTTTTCCAGCCCCCCCTAGTTCCCCATTTCTTTGGCCCTTCCTTTATTTTGACTATTATTTTTTTAGGCTAAGGGTGTCTGCAGCCCCTTTCTTTTGAGTTGTCTCTTTTGTATAATAATTTCCCTTTAAAATGTTTTTTTTTTTTCTTTTTGGTTCATCTGGATCGCATGCGTTTTCTCTGCATGATACCTCAATCTTCCAGTTATCCTAGCAGGGGGCTGAAGAAGAAAAAAAATAATAACAATAACACACACAGAGGAAAAAAAAACGCAGCACACACACCAGCTCTCCTGTCTGTGGTTACCCTCTCAGGAATTTGTGCTTTTGTGTTTTGGCGTCTCTGCTCTCTCTCTCTCCTTTCGTTACAGTGCATCATCGCGGTAAACATTTCTCAAGTTATTTATACGCAGCCCATGGGCGTCGTGCCCAGCCGCCTCAACACCTCTTCTTTGCTTTCAGATCCCTGGGTCGGGGTCTGCCGCTGACCCCCTGGCCAAAGCAGGCAGCCAGCCCGCCACGGCGGCGGCGCGAGGACACTCCCAGGAGTACGACTCCGGCAACGACACGTCCTCGCCGCCGTCCACGCAGACGAGCTCGGCGCGCTCGCGGGGCCGGGGGCAGGCGAGCCCTGGGCAAGGCGGCGGCGGTGGCAGGGGCAGCGGCCCTGGCAAGAGCCCGGAGCTGGGCAGCGGCAACACCTCCGATTCAGGGAACTCCTTCACCACCTCCTCGCCCCAGAACAAGAGGGCTGCCTCGGAGAACCTCTCCCCCACCAGCAGGGGCCCGGAGTCGAGGTCAGTGCGCCCGGAGTGAAGAGGGTGGGGAACAGCACACGGCCCCAACCCAGCAGCCCCACCTGCCACTGGATCATTTACCACACTGTACCCCACATACATACATCTTTTATACTTTCCAGAGACTGAAACTCAGCTCAGACTGGCTTGAATGGCGGTTGAAGATAAAGGTTTGAGTAAGTCAGAGACAGCTTCCATCTGCTGGGTCCCTCTGCAAATGGCCACAGCTGCCAGAGCTGGCCAGGCAGACAGGAGGGAGCTTTATCAAGTCTCCCATGCGGGTGCAGGGCCCCAAGCACTTGGGCGTCCTCTACTGCTTTCCTCAGGCCGTTTCAGAAGTAGAGCAGCTGGGACTGGAACCAGCATCCCTATGGGATGCCGGCATCTCAGATGGTGGCTTTACCCACTATGCCATGATGTCAGGGACAAGGATGGACCTTACTGAGGACATGGACCACAAGGGAAGTCCCTGTGCTTTCCTCTCAGCTGTGCTGTGGAAGTGAAACCCTCCAAATATAAACACACACACACGTATTACAAATGTACACATACATCAGTATGTGACTTTTCAGTAAAGGGAGATCCTCCCCACTGTAATACCCTTGCTAGATCCGGTCATCCTGCAGAAAACACTTCCATAGTGTCGCTTATGCAGCAGGTTAACTGTGTTGCTACTTCATCACCCCCCTCGGCTCTGTCACCTGGGCTTTCACAACTGCAAATCACCCAGGTACTGTGGCAATCACTGCTACTAGAATTCACCCGTCATTTAGTCTGTACTGCTCATCCAGTTATCTAGCCTGCATGGGAACTTCTTGCCAGACACCTTCTAAATGCCAAACACTTGACCTGGTTGCTGTTGTTCTGTTCCCTTGGGAGTTATTAATGAAGCAAGTGCACAGGGGAGAGGGGAAGCTTTGCTGTCAGGCCATCCGTGTGGTGGCTGCTGCTTCTAGCCGACCACAAGTCCCAAACAAAAGCCCTGAAGTAGCTGACAGCTTCGTCAAGGGACAGGGCACTCTCTGTCCCTCACACATTGGCCCCTTCGGTCCTGGACAAACCACTTGGCAGCCACATGGAGCCCTGGTCCTTGCAGTGCCTGCCCCAGGACATCCCTGGCCTCAGCTCACACCTGAGCCTGGCTGGGAGCCAGGGCTGGGTCAAGACGAACATCAGTGTCTCCAAGAACAGGCAGTCGGGTTTCCGGATGGGAGGGGTGTGTGTGTGTGTACGTACGTACGTACTGCTACTATGCAAGGAGACCCCAAGAATGGCAACCATAATAATCATCGTGGCTGCTAATGTTTGATCCATACACTTTCCATGGAAACTTACTGAGTTTCTTTTAAGTTCCTTTGGGGATAGGTACTATTGGTCTAGCAGAAAGAGAGAGGGGAGCAGAGAGGAGGGAGAGAAGAGGGAAGAGTACAGAGAGAAAAGGGGGTGGGGAACAGAGAGAGACAGAGGAGAGAGATACAGGAGGGATGCGGAGAGATTGAGATTAACTATTGCTTTCCTTTTTTAGGTAATAGGGAAGTGAGACTGGGTGGTTGAGGTGCTCAGGTACTAACTGGCAATGCCAACATGCAAGTACAGATCTGTCTTCAAGATGAGCTAAAGCCCACGAGACAATTAGCAGCCAGCCCCTGGTTATCTTGATTGACATGGACAAATAATTTGGACCCAGCCTTCCATTTTGAAATATAAATGATGGTCAAGTGTGATTCTGGCTAGGAGCAGAGAGCTCAGGGAACAATGCTCTACATCGGGAAAGTCACAGACACTGAGGCTGGGCAGCTGGCCGGATCAGGGTCTGGAATACCAGGTAGCCCTGCCCATGCCTCACCTTCCGAGTCTTCGCTGCTATGACAATGGTCCCAGTGCCCAGTCCCCAGGGTCACTGGGAAGACTAGGTGAAGTGGTCCTTATGGAGAGCCTTGGACACTGAAGAGCTCTCAATGGCTGCTTCCTGTGGGATTCATTCCCAAGACCCACGCAAGGGATTGCAAAACAGTGTTCAGAGAGATGTGGATCCCATCCCAGACCTCAATTTCTGGGACATTATGTTTATAAAACCAAGTGGTCCACACAGGGACTGGGGAAGCCCAGGACCTGGGATCTACTGTAACACATTAGAGACCACTGATGGTGGAGGAGAGATGAGGAAGACCCTTCAGTGGGGGACGAGCTCCAACTAACGTCAGAACCATGAACAGGATGTGGCAGGTGACGAGAAGAGAGTTGCACACAGCCAGAACATCCTATGGTCAGGGGGACAAGAGAGAGAGCACGTAAAATTACTCCTGGGGGAGCTGGTAGCCCCTTGTGGGGTCTTACTTCTCTGCCTCCAAAATGGGCTACACCCAAGAATGGCAAACTCAGGCCAACAACCCATCACCTTCACGATGCTTACCATACCTGTGTATTACTAAAGCTCTTGCTTTACTGGAGTCCTCTGCTTTTCTGGTGCACAGTCCTGTGCCACATGTTTCAGCCATGTTGGACGACACACATGATGCACAGAGCTGCGACACTGCTCCTGCCTGTGTGATGTTGTGCCCTCAGACACCTCCACAGCACATTCTCACGTGTCTGAGCTGTTGCTGGCATAAGCAAATCTACTGCACTGCCAGTCATATAAAAGCACAGCATACACAATTATGCACCAGACCTAATGCTTAATCACTGATGTGATGATTATGTTTCCAGGCTTGTGCATTTACTACACTAGACTTCTCATCATTCAGCGTCCTCCTCCTACTTGTAAAAGCAAGTTTCCTATAGATGCACTGCGTCTCTCGATTCCAGCCAGTGATGGAGCCATCCATCTAGGTTGGATGTCCACACAACACAGTCACCTCAGGACACACTGTTGAGAGGGCATCCCAGTTGCTCCTCAGGAGGCGGTCGTGACCATAATAAGCAAACTTAAACAGAAACAGTACTACTGAAGATGAAAAACAAGAGTAGTATCACACATCTCACATACAAAGAACTAGATATTTCATTCTGGCTAGGTACACATGTGGGCACAAAATTCTGATCCCGAAGCCCAGAGATCAAAGAGTTCCAGGAGAGATGCTGAACTCGCCAGCACCCCCACTATGCCCTTCCCAGGAACAGAATGGGAAGGCCTAGAAAAGGAATCAAGCTTTCCCCCATGGGACAGTATGGAGGAACCCAGGAGGACATGCCCACACTCGAGGCGTACTCCACTGGCTCATACCCCTACTGTTGAGGTCTTCTCTCCACTCCTGGAACATCCAGGACGCTGGTTCAGAGGTGGTGAGATGGGAAAGATGGAAGCAGGCTCCCATGAAAAGCAGGCCACCAGGTGCTCATCAACCTTCTCCCTCCTGCAGGGGCTTTCAGTCACCCTGCCTGGAATGCAGCGAGGCCAAGAAATTCGGTCTGGTCCTATCCACCGGGCAGAGCTCTCCAGGGAGGGAGTGCTCCCGCAGCTCCTCCTATGCCAGCACGCGATCTTCCTGCCCATCCTCCAGGTCCCCAGACTCCCGGGCCTCCCCCAAGTACACCCGAAGCAGGTCCACCTCGTCTGGACAAAGGTGAGTGCAGATTTGACGTTGGCCTGCAGTGCTCTCCCCCTTACGTAGCTGGTTCCCTGTGCGGAACGGAGTCTGACACACCTGCTGTTGAATACTCATTCTTCCCACCACTAGCTGGTGCCCGTGGGAATGCCTGCCCACGCACCCCCCACACCAGCCTCTCAGAGCCTCAGTCTCCTTGTTTGCAAAATGGAAACCTAAGGGGTGTCCTGGGCGCTGCAGGCGCTCAGCAGTGCTTGGGATGTGAGGAGTCGTTTGTTACTAGAGCTGCTCTTGGCACGAGGAGCTAATACAGATTGATTAGTTTCTACTGCATTAAAAAAAAAAATTACCTCAGAACTTAGCATCCTAACAGCAGCAAAGAGTTCCCGATTCTCTGGCTCAGCAGTTTGGGCTGGGCTCAGCTAGGTGGTTTTTCTGTCTTTTCTGGGCTTATCACTCCTGCATCTTTGATCGGCTGGAGGCTTGGCTGAGAGCTGGCTGTGTCGGATGACCCCAGCTGGCTTACACCCGCTCCAGGTAGCCTCCCATTCTCTAGCCAGTCTGTCTTTGCTAGTTCCCATGGTGATAGTAAGAGTCGTAACACAGAAGGCTCATTGAGTCTTAGGCTTGGAAGTGACCTGACAACACTTGTGTCAACCTGTTGGCCATGCAAGTCACAAGACCAACGCAGAGGCAAAGATGCAGAGTCCTGCTGAAGGGGGTACAGATACGAGGAGAAGAATTCGCACTCTTCCTATCACTATATCACCCAGTCCCAACAATCAGCCAATTCCAACCATTGTCTGTCTCATGTGGATTCATGTGGTAGTGGAATGTACAGATGCCAGTCTCAGGAAGACTCCATTCAATCTAAGCCACTGCGGCCTCGTGCAGATCCCCCATTGGCGACCTTCAGTGGTACAATAACACCAATAAACGAGCTACACACTCAGGTGGTTATTTTAAGAACAGGCTATTCCAAGAAAGGTGGCAAGGCAGCTGACAAAAAAATAAATCACCATGATAGAGTGATATTAATAGAACAAGCCAAGCTAAAAGGAAAATTAAGGTGAGAGATAGAACATAAAGTCAGGATAAAGAGTAAGTCTTCAAAGACATGGCCTATTCTGTACAGTCGCAACAGAGGTGGGATGCCTACATGGCCATTGAGCTCCCTAGCAGACAAAGCAAAGAAGGAAATTGTTCCATTAAGTGTTACATCACTGAGAATTGACTTTGTCATGGCAGTATGAGGTCATGGAATTCTGGAAGAAGAGAATGAAGTTCGGGCTGGAGACTAGATCTCTGGGCTCAATGCCATTGTTATGGGTGTTTCTTTGGTAGCCTGGGGATATTGTGAATTTGGCCTTTATGATCATTTACATGTTCAGGGTCAGCCACAAAATTGTGCGGAAACCTCAACAAGTAATCTGAGCATACTAAAGTACCCCGCCTTTTCCCATCTTGGTTGACATTCACGGTGCGTTTCGCATGCACTATCGTTCGTGTCCCTCCTTGCACCCTGACTGCCCACCAGGACACCAGGACTGCCCTACATAGCCGAGCGGTGCAATAGCAGCACCCGGCACAGAGCCCTCAACAAATATTTGTGCCATAAAAAAATATTGTCGCAGTATTACAAACCAAAGAAAAATGGAACCACTCGCTTAGAAGCATAGCTAGTTCTGATGTTTTAAGGCAGAGAAGTGACTCCTGGTTCTCCACAGAGAAGGAGCACTCAGTGTCAGTGCTATGGGTGGACAGACCTCACAGGATCCTCCCACAGCAGCCAAAAATGTGTTTCCTCCAGACGCTGTCTTCCAGCAGCTTACAGCGTGCAGCCCAGCAGCAGGCTGGCCAGAGCTGACTTGCCGGGTACCACAGCAGGACACTGGCCCAGGATGAGGAGACTGGAGGAGTTCCTCCTTTTGCGCTTTCTATCAAGTGAGAGACAGTAGCAGTGACGGGAAAGGGGGACCGTATTAGCACAGGGGCTGGCCACGATGCAAGGCTGTGAAGTCCAGAGATGTCACAAGCACCCTGGTGCCACACAGGCCTGGCTCCCAGGTGCTTGGGGGACAGACAGGCTACCACAAGAGACACCCTGAGCACATGTCTGCATCCGGGTCTCCATCTGTGAAATGGGACAGTGGTACCCAACCCAAGGATGGCCTTGAGGGCTCAATAAAGTAGTGTGCACAAGGCATTCACTGGGTGTCTGGTGCGTGACAAAATGCCTAACAGCCATAATTAACACTTCCCAGGTGCGAGGCTAACAGGCTAACCTGCTAAGTGATTTACCTCAAGGTAGTCATTTGCTATTACAGTGTGGCAGCATCTGTCCTATTGTTACCCCCATTTTACAGAGGAGAAAAGTGAGGTCCAGACAAGTGAGATCATCTAGGGAGTGTGTGTCACACAGTGCAGCACAGTAAGTGTTCAGGAAGATGAAGCTGTCCCTAGTAACTACCGCTCCAGGAGGGGGCTGGCTGAGTAAAGCGCTAGGCGTCCACCCACCAACCACTGGGCTGATGCCTTGCAGGCTCCTCAGGGACTCTGGTCTCTTCCGCAGATCCTACTCGCGCTCTCCCAGCTACTCCTCCAAGTCTGGCAAGAGGAGCCCACCTAGCAGAGGCTCCCGATCCCGCCGCAGCCCCAGCTACTCCCGCTACAGTCCCAGCAGGTACTGCCCCACAGGCCCCCCCAAGGCACTGGCCACGCCCCTCCGCTAGGCTCCACCCCCAATCCCAACACCCAGAGGGGCCTCTTAAGCGCCCCTTCCAGGCCCTGTCCTTGTTCAGTGTCCTAAAGCAACCCCAGGGCCACATCCCAGACTCCAAACCCACAGTGCTTAGCCATGCCACAGCATCACACTCACTCACGTGGCACTTGCTCCCAGTGATGCCTTACCGCCCTCCCTGAGGCCCTGTGCCACCTGAGCCCAGCTCCTCACCCTGGAACCCGCCGCACCCCTCCAGGGAGCGGGACCTCAAGTACAGTGAGAAGGACTCACAGCAGCAGCGAGAGCGTGAACGAGTGCGCAGGAGACGGAGGTCCTACTCGCCTATGCGCAAGCGCCGGAGAGACTCCCCCAGCCACCTGGAGGCGCGGCGGATCACCAGGTGAGGCTGTGGAGTTGCTTCCCACCGCCAGCTCTGCCAGGGAGATCCACAGACCAGCCCGGAGGCCTTCCGGGCGCTGGATTTCGGGGACCCTCCTAGCTCTGAGGCCCCTCCTTCCCCATGGAGTAGGTGCGGTTAGTGGGCCCGGGAACGCAGGCTGAGGAAGGGAGGGGGTGTGACCTGGGAATGGGAATGGAGAGGCAGCAGCCTGGTCCTGATCCTGGACGCGCCATGGCCCTTGGCCGCACGGCTGGCATTGGTGGGAGTCCCAGGTGAGGTGTCCGGGCAGAAAAGCCTGGACTGTGGGCAAGAAGAGGGTGTCCCAGGCCTCGGAAGCGAGCAGAATGACGGGGGAGAGGCGCTGCTTGGGCTCTGTCTCCCTGTTAACACACTGCCGAATGGGGCCCCAGGCTGCCCAGGGAACTCTCCCTGGCGACACAGGGATGTGTGCTCCCAGACGGTGGGCCTCGGGGTGGCCGTGTCACCTCCTGGGGTATCCCCCCAGAGCAGCCTTTGAAAAAAGCCATCTTCCTTGGGGTCAGCTTGGTGGAGGGCTGAGTTAGATAGTGACATCCAAAGCTTCCCTAAGCAACCCAGCCAAGTCCACACTGTGGCGCATTCCGGTGTGACCCGCTCAGTCCCACAGCCACGCCTTCACCTTATTTTCCTTGAATAGATATGCCCCCCACCACCACCTCGCGCCATTTCTTTTAGAGGCCCATGCATTTATATCACAAAGAAACTTGATACCATACAGAAAATGGAAAATCAGCTTCTCTCACCATAAATAGAAGGTTCTAGTAAAAGTAAAAATAGTAACACAAAACTACAATTAAATTTTGGATGTAGTTTCTGATGCCAGCTGGAGGCTCTGCGCCTTCTCCCCCACCACCACCACCCCCTCATGCCAGGTGGGGCTTGATTGGTTGGTTTGTTGCTTGTTTTTAAAGTGAGATGATGCATTTTCAAGGTGTGTCAGTACAATGTGGAGATTTTCCCCTCGCAGCCAGGGAAGGGGACAGGAAGGGGCTGGGACCCAAGTCAGGTGCTCAAGCATCCTCCTGTGCTCTCCCGCAGCGCCCGGAAAAGGCCCATCCCCTACTACCGGCCCAGCCCGTCCTCGTCCAGCAGCCTCAGCAGCTCCTCCTGTTGGTACAGCAGCAGCAGCAGCAGCAGCCGCTCGGGCAGCCGCAGCTACTCCCGGAGCCAGACTCGCAGCCGCAGCCGCAGCCGGACCCGCACGAGCGGCAGCAGCTCCAGCTCACGGAGTCCCAGCCCGGGCTCCCGCAGCCGGAGCCGCAGCTACAGCTCCGTACACAGCTACTGCAGCACCCGGCGCTAAGCCAGCTGCCTGCGGGGGCTGCCCTCCACCCCCTGCCCATCCCCGTACCTTCTCCTGGGTGACTGAGGACTGCGTGAGCTCCTGGACCCTGTCCCTCCTGCTCTTCCGGGGCGGAGGAGGAGGAAGCAACCCAGGGGTCTGGGCACGGCAGCCTGTGGAGAGCCTCTACCAGCACCATCCTGGGGCTCAGCGCAGGCCCGAGAGAAACGGAGAGAAGCACCAAAAAAACCCCACGAAAAATACTCAAGGTTTTGTAAGCAGCAGCAGGTCCGTGTCCCCAAAGCCGGGACCTAGTGAGGACGGTGGAGACAGTAGCTCCTTGTGCTCAGCCACTACTGAGCTGCATCAGGCAGAGTCACGGGACAGTCCCCGCAGCCACCTTGTTCCCACCTCACTCAGTCCCGTTGGCTGCATGTTTATGGACCCTGGAGTGCAGGGAGAGGTGAGAGAGGAGGCTCTGGCTAGTTCAGGTCCAAGATGAGGAGCCAGGCCTTCCGGCAGGCCCAACCAAGACTCCAGGGTCCTGCACCTGGGAGCAGGCCTATCCGAGATGGTAGCAGGTGGCGGAAGACAGGACGGGGTCTCTAGCTAGAAGCACCCACAGGAAGGAGTCCTCCATGGCTCCCAGGATCTCCGCGTGGTCACAGGAAGGGGCCTGGCAGGTCCCAGCCATGGAGAGGCCACCTCCTTGCTGACCCCAGGGACCCCCACAGTGCCACCACAAAGACACGACAGAGCAGCAGTCAGGAGAGCTTGGACCACGGCCGCCCCACCTCCTGAACTTGCCTCAGCCCCACTGAGCTGGCACCAGCCTCCTTCCACGGGACCATCTGCTGAGCATTCTCCAGGGCCAAGGCCGTGTGCCAGTCTCCAGCGCCAGCCAGTCTGGCCTTGCCCTCCAGTTGGCGCCTGCCCGCCCCCTCCCCACTACCAAGGCTGCCACGCCCTGAATCTACCCCAGCTCAGCACGGCACCGCCCCCGCCCCCCCAAGCCCTGTCACTCCCCTTGCCTCTCAGGAATTTTACCGGGATGGGGCCCAGCAGCTGTGCAGGTTTGGATAGGAAGAACCCAATTCCAGGGAGCCCCAGGGGTGGGGCGGGGTGGGTGTGGGTGGGGGAAGCTTAGGAGCCTTTCTGCCAGCCTGGGACAGCCACACCTTCATTGCTGGGCACAAGGATAAGCCGATCTCCATCCAACTCACAAATACCACCAGCTGCTTTAACCGCAGGAGGTACAAGTAGAGGGTGCCAGGGAGGGACAGGATCCTTAAAATAAACCCACGGGCGTCCCCCCTCCCCCCCACAGCAGCCGCCTGCCTGCCTAGAGGGGTGAGTTTGTGCTTTGTGGTGGCAACGGCAGCAGGGCTGGGCAAGGAGGGAGCCGAGCAGAGAAGCCAACAGCAGAGAAAATCCCAGTTTGGGATCCTGGAGCTACAAGGGGGAAACAAAACCTAGACCCCCCCCTCCCCACCGCAGGGGAGAGAGGAGTGGTCTGGAAAATCGCCTCTTCCTCAGAGGCAACAGCTCCGCTTTCCCATCCAGTCAGCCCTGGGAGGCTGGAGACAAGCCTGCAAGCATCTCCCACCCAGCCTGCCAAATCCTTGCTCCATCAGAGCCCGGCGAGGTGGCACCAGGCCTGAGCCGCACCCACCAAGACAGTCAGATGCCAACGTTGTCGCTGCACAAGGCCGGATGGCAGGTGCCTGGGACAGGGCCAGGTGCCCTGGGAGGGTGTGTGCAGGGACTGTAAATAGCCCTAGGCCCCCGGACTGCAGTCTCCCTCCATGGAGCCACAGAACCTTTGCTGAGGACAGCCCGGTGGCCACCTGTATCCACACAGCTCCTGGAGACCACTCTGCCTCTGCCTCAGGCCCTCAGCCAATCTTTTATTTATTTTATTTATTTATGTTTATTTATTTATTTATGTATGCAATCCCTCTCTTTCTTTTGGTATTTATTTATTTATATATTTATTTATATGGGAAGGTTTTTTTTGTGTGTGTGTATGTGTGTGTGTGTATGTATGCCTGGCAAGGGGTGGTGGGATTTGTATATTATTTTTTGTGCACCTGTTTGCCCACACCCCATTCTCTACAGATAGGATTCAAGCGGCTGGATGGGGATGCTGGTCCCTTTTTCCTCCTTAAGGGCTGCAAGACCAGAACATCCTGGGGTTGACCCGCAGGTACATCAGCCCCAAGACTCACTGCTGTTCTGGACACCTGCCCCTGCCCATCAGCCACCATGTTAGATGGAAGATAGCAGCCAAGAGGCTGAGCCAACACAGCAAAGTGGCAGCTCAGGTGAGGAGGTCACAGTCTCGAGGGACCAAGAAGCCCACAGCTACAGCAAACTGACATCTCCCTAGGGGACAGAGATGCCACCACTTGACGCAGCCCCGTGGCTCCTACTGAGGACTTACTGAAGCAGCCATCTCGTGCTGTAGAGCAAGGAGCCTGCTGATGAAAAGGGGCCATCTGCTTTAGGACTGGGGTCCCATGAGGTGCCCACACCACAAGACCACAGCAGGAAGAGGGCCAACCAGGGGGCAGAAGATGCACCTTCACATGGCACCCTGAATCCAAGGCAGATGCTACAGAACACACCCAGCCCAGCCAGCTCCACCCTAAGGCCCACGTGCCTCCATCCTGCCCTCCCCACCACCGAGGTGGGGGAATGGAGGCTGCTCTGTCCCACCCATGGAGGATGTGGCCACCTCCTCAGGGGGTTCTTGCAGCAGGAGACACTCAGGAACCCACATAGAGGCCTATCTCTTATCTGTGTCTGTCCATACAGGGAGAGCTGTTTCAGAAACAGTGGTGGGACATAGAATAAAAAAACCATATGTCTCCCCAGGAAGGTCATTCCCCAGCAGGCAGAGCCAGTGGTCAGCCTTGTCTCCCAGACCAACAGCACGTCTCCAGCTGCTGGCCAGGAAGGCCCTTCCCAGAGTCCCCGCTGCTGTGGAGTCGCCAGCTGCGCTCTTCCAGCTTTGGGCTTGACGGGGTTTTTGCAGCATCCCTGGTGGATTCCCTGGCAATGTGACAACCCTGCGCTAGCCCAAGCAAGGGAGTACTCTGTCCTGGGGAGAGCTGCACGAGGCGGGCTGAAATACCTCCTGCGACAATCAATCCACCAGTCTCTCCCTCCCCTTTCTTCCGGCCCTCCGTCCTCCCCTATCTGTCCCAGTGTGTCTCTGCCATCTCCTTTGTACGTTAGCTCCATCCTAAATGTAAACACACCCACTCCTCTTGCGGGGTCACCAGTAACCTTACGTCACCAGAATCCTCACCCTCAACACTTTCTGCTTCCAGGGACTAAGGGAGATTGTCCAACACCTGCTTCTGGCTGACGTATCAATGCTCAGCGTCAGGTCAGGAGGCTGGATGTGGCTTGAGGCTGAGCATCATGTGATCCAAGCCCTTTGACCTTCCCGCAGTGCCTGTGCCCTGCACATGGGGGCACGCCACACACGCTTTCTCTGCAGCCTAGGGCACTCACCAAAGATGGCTATGCCAAGACTTGGCAGGGAAAAAAAAAGAGGGAGGACTGGGGGAGTTTTTAGGAGAGCCTCAGTCAGAGGAGAAGGATTGAGAGCAAGAAAGGAGTCCCTTGTAGCTGCTTAGGAACAGCTACCCAACTCCTACCCCTCGATTAAGAACATTCTAGATCAGGAGTAGACCCGACTCCTGTCTTCTTCAAGGAAAAGCATCCATCTTGGAGAAGCAGGGGACTCAGTCCCAGCGAGCCCCCAGCCCTTCATTCACCCAGACCCATGCTTGCCTCAACGGACAGAAATGTGAGGTGCAGAAAGGCAACCTCTCCCTTATCAAGCCAAAAGCCTCGCCCTCTGCTGTGTGACTGTCATCTTCCTTTTCCGCAAGACCTAGAAACAGTCTCCTGGGCATGCCTCCTGCCCTCATTTGGCCCCCTGGGCAGTTAGAAAGTTGAGTACGAAAGCAAATAGAACATCAAGCACTGGATTCCTCAGACACACGCCTCCTCCCCCACTGGCCTCATGCGTCTGTCTGGTTGAGCCACTTGGGCCTGATCCACTGTCCCTGAGCGATGCCCATCCCAGCCTGTATTCTTTTTCTTCTGCGCCCAGGACCCAACCACCTTCATCCATTTGTCATTTTATCTTTGTGGCTTTGGAGCCCAGACTTGTTCTTTGGGTTTTTTGTTTGTTTCTGTTTGTTGGTGGATGGTTGCTTTGTTTTGTGAATTCTATGATGGGTTCCCTCTTCACAGCACGGCATATTTAATGATTTAGTTCCTGGTTATTGAGTGGCATTGGGCAAGGACAGGGACCATGCATTGCTGCCTGCAGAGAGGGGGCATTGTCGCCCAGGCAGTGGATGCTAGAACCACTGAGCAAAACGGCGTTGGTGGCAATGGAGGCTCTGTCATGCCCATTGAGCTCAAATGGAACCAAGACATTGTCTCCAAGAAAACCTCATCTAGTTGGAAATTAATGGAGGAATAAAATGTCTGAACACAAACCAAGTTCTGTGAAAATGAAAACGAGAAAGAGGAAATGGGAGTTTGAATCCCTCTCTTCAAGCTAGAAAAAGCAACGCCTCATCTTCTAACCTGCTGAGCCAAAGAGACTGAAGTGGCATTCCTTTATGTTTCCCGTGCCTGTGTTTCTCTGTGGATGATGGGGAATGGATCCTGGGTCTCAGTTGTCATGTGTACAGTGGGCTTCTGGTCTGAGCATCCTTGGCAGTGGAGGGTTTGGGGAGGGCAGAACGTCTACTTCATTTGCCAGGTAAGGGTGTGGTAGCTGGGTCTCGCCCTGAGTTGCCACAGGACTCAGGGTGTCACCTTCACAGCTCTTGCAGCTTGGATCTGAGTCCTCTGCGTGGAGCTTGAAATTGTCTCAAGCCCAAGGGCTCATAGTTAACCACTGTGTTTTGACACCCCATTTCATACAATCATTCCAGCAGACCAGGGACATGGGTCACATGGCCACTTGTCAGATGAGAACACTGAGGCCC